TGCACTGTGTCGGATACAATTTAATGTAGTTAACTGCATTCGACGGATCTGTTAATTATATTATAGAAATAAGTAGCAATTTTTATGAAATAAATACGATACAGTTAAACATAGCAATGATATCTTATGTTTGTAATTAGACACACAATTAATTGCTATTGATATATATATATATATATATATATATATATATATATATATATATGTCTTATCTTCAAAAATCTCTCAGATATTCTAATAAATAATAAATAGATCGTATATACAATTAATTATTCAATGATGAGAAATAACTGCGATAATGACACAGAGCACGATAAGTTTGCGTTTACGATAAATATTAATTCCTAAAGACGCCAAACAGCGTGAACAATGAAAACAGTGAACGTTCCCTTAAATCACGCGAGAATAACAAAATGAACATACGAATGCAAAATAATGATATATGAATGTAAAGCCATGATCACATATCAGAAGTATTCGACAAATTCGATCTTCCAAGAAAGCTTCTATGCACTAAAAATTGCATCCTGCGTCGCAGATTAAAAATCACTCACATCGAAAATATTCGACGGATATCAAGTTTTCCAAAAATTCTACGCCTTGAAACAGCCCTTCGCTGCACAAAATTTGCACCGGCGACCCGTCCGCACGGTAATTAATTAACAGAACCAACGCAGCCGCCAATCGCGTACAGTCAAGATCGAAAATTTTAACGATCGGCTTCGAATCACAGCGACGTCAGTCGCCCGCTTTTCACGGCTGCCCGAAGGAATCCATTTTAATCCGTTTTAATCACTCTCGCACTTCCCCCGTCTCTATGCAAAAATCCGTCCCTCCAGCCCCCGGCTCTGTAGTAAGACGATTCCCGTTGCTCGTCGTTATCCAACGGGATCCGCGGCGATAATAAACTCGCCGAAGCACCGGGAACCACTTAAAACTATCGGGAGCGTTGAATTCGAAATAACCAGAACGGGGGGCAGGGGGGGGGGAGAGCTCGTGTCGCTTTAATCCGTCGTTGACTCGTCAAAGCGGCCGGAACGCGGACGGGAATTTGCACCGAAAAATCGTAAAACTGTCGTTTTATGAAAGTGTGCTCGGCGTAACGAGAAATCTATTCGCCAATAGTTAATTGGACATTTCGGCTATAAATTAGTACGGTCATTTTTAACGTTGATGCATTTTGAACGCGGCCGGACGGGTTTCAAGGGTTGTTCTTTTTTCAAATGAACTTTGAAAAGCCGTCAAATCGACGGCTTCGTTTAATTTTCATTTATTTAGTTACTTTAATTAATTTAATCATTTCATTTTTTATTCAGTTATTTTATTTTGTATTATCATATTTATTATTTCATTTGCGTAATTATTTATTTAATGTTTTGCTAGAGACAGTGAAGAACGAAGAAGGTTAACTGCTATAGTTCTAAAAAATGCAGCAATTTCATTTAATTTTGTGCACTTTCTCTCTTTTCGTAATTCAGTGTCTTATAATTTCGTGCCAATAAAATCGTCCCACTTAACCTCAAATTAAACGTTTCGTCTTTCCTTCCGCAAAATTACCGAGAACGTTGTAATATCTAATAAATCATTTTCCATCATCATTTTCCATCATTTTAACGCAAGCATTGCAATCGAGTTCCTGTACCAATCATTTCCCAGGTGCCTTACAATTTCATCCACCGGTGTAAATAAATAATTGTTAGCCGAACAATACTTCTCCCGGCTTTTTTGTCGGTGCAATTACGAAGCCCGCTGTTCGAGGCCGCTACTCGAAAGAATCTCGAAAGCCGACGTTCTCCGTGCTCGCGATCGCGCTCCGATCCGCTCGGATCCGCCTCGCGCCGCGCCGCGCCGAGCGTAACGCGCTCTCGAAGTTCCCGAGGAAGTGGTTTCGGGGGTGATTGATTTCCCACATCGAATCGTCGACACCGACTTGGGCCACGGTTAGGCGGCTGCCGAGAGCGGATTCGCGGGGCTCGAAGGGGGGGACCGAGGGGGGGATCGAGGGGTCTCGAACGGGGGTGAAAAGGGTAGTCGAGCCACGGGAACGGGGAAGCGGAACTGAGATTCTGTGGTTTACCCACGGAAAACCGTTGACTGCGTTGAGAACAACGATTCGATTGATTTATCGCGGTTGACGTTAATTAATTGGAGGCGACGCCCGTGCATCCCCGACTTCGTTTCAAGATATTGTGCCGAGCGACGGCGCATCGACGGCCTGTATATATGTCGTATAATATCGGTGACTGTTCAACTCGATTTCTCCGCTCGTTCGCGGGACGTTGCCGGCGGCTCGAATTCTCGGACGATATTTGTGCCGCGAACAACAAGTGACGAATCGACCCACCGCGTTAGTGTTTTGGAACAAAGAAACGATTCGGCTCGTTAATTTGTTGTCGTTTGTTCTATCGACGATGCTTTTATCACTGTTGTCGACCTGAGTGTTCTTTCAATGTAATTTTAACTTATCAGTAATTCGATTATTTTGTACTTGTCAATAACAAATGGCAAACAAATGCTGTAAATATGTACTTATTTGTATTATTATTATAATATGTATTCATTTGATACTGTAAAATCTTATCGATAGAATTTGTTGATACTATAAAAACTTTTTTTTTGCGGTATTTTTATCGAAAGAATTTTTATCGAAAAATTAGAAGAGATAAAGAATTATCATGTTTTCTTCATCATTTATTCGCTGTTATTATTCGAATAATTTTACAATCTTTACTCGAATAATTTTACAATCTCTATTCGAATAATTTTACAATCTTTACTCGAATAATTTTACAATCTTTACCCAAATAATTTTGCAATCTCTATTCGAACAACTTATTCGAATAAAATATTCGACTAAAAATAATTCAAGAATTAAAAAGAAAATAAGAAGAACAGGATAATATTTCTATATTATTTACAACTGATTGCATTTAACATTGATAATTACAGTAGATTCTCCCTAATTTTCCTTCAGCTTCCAAACAAAAATAGACAATTTGAAAAGAAGAAAGATCATTCGATCCTTCCATCTCGTTTTTATAATCGTCGACAATCCATAAAACTTGTAAATAATTTGTTGTACGCGAAAGAAAAATATCATAGACGCAGCGTCCGATAAACAGAGAGAGTTCGATATCGATCGAACAGACCGACGTCTTTTACGCTTAATTAATTGATCCCGCAGATACGAGGTCGCCGGCGGTGACAATCCATTGGTTCGCGACCGGTTGCATACTCGCGACCCGTTTTACCGCGTTTGTCCACCGTTTCGTCGACGTCCGTCGCCATTGAATACGATTAATACGCTCGCACAGACGCGAAAGAAGCGCCGACGAGAAGCAACGGCGTCTCTTCTCCTCCGGGTTTCATTCTCGCAAGGGTCGCCCGGGAATTATTTATCCTTTTTTGATCCCGTTCCCTTCGGTTTGCTCGAGCCTGATCGGGCGAAATGGAATTATCGGGACTCGGGGGCGTGTATCGGGTCCAGCTTAACCCGCGTTAACGGGTTGAAACTCGTCGTTTTGTTCATTGGAAATTATTCGAAACCGATAGTCGGAATGTTTGGGGCCGCCGCCGCCGCCGCGGCTCTCGGCTTTTCGAGCGCGCCGAACCGGCCGCGCGGTATCCTCCGTTTCTTTCTGGCCGAACGTTTGTTCGCCTTTTTATCTTCTTTCTTTTCTCCTTTTTTTCTTCTTTCTTCTTCTGTTCGTCGCGAGGCGGAAAGAGACTCGCGACGTAACACAATCGGCGCGGCGCGGCGCGGGTGCAGAGACGACCGGGTGCTCGCGTTATCGATCGAGCTTCCCGGATTCGCTCTCCGCGAATGCATTTATTATGTCGGCGATATTGAAACAAACGCAAATGCCATTTATGATGCGCAAGGAACAACGGGGGGAATTTATTCGATCAACTTTTGATCGGATTCTATGCGATACGTTTCTGTGATGTACGATCGCTTTTCATGATATCGAAATGACGGATCGCCAGAAACTTTATTTATCTAATGCGCAAATGGATCTTACGAATTTATGGACGTTGATGCGTTTCGATTGTTAACATTGTTACGTTGGTGCGAGAGAACACTGATTTATTTGATAATGTAGTTCAACGCCGGGGACAATCGGGGCCGACGATGCATGTTGTAGGGGTAAGTGACGAAAAATGTTAGGGTGGGTTGTATTATTTTTTTTATTATTGTTTTTGGTATTTTTTTGGTATTATTTAGTACGTTTTAGTATTTTTTAGCATTACTTAATGTTACTTGGTATATTTTAGTATTTTTCAATATTATTTAGTATTATTTAAGAATATTTTAGTATTTTTGTGGCATTATTTAGCTTTATTTAGTATATTTTAGTATTCCTTAAGTATTATTTAGTATTATTTAGTACATTTCAGTATTTTCTAGTATTATTTAGTATATTTTAGTATCTCTTTAGCATTATTTAATTTTATTTAATACATTTTAGTATTTTTTAAATAGTATTTAGTATTATTTAGTATTATTTAGTATATTTTACTATTTTTGTAGTATTATTTAGTATATTTTATTATAGTTCAATATATTTGAGTACCTTTTAGTATTATTTAGTATTACTTAGTACATTTTAGTATTGTTGTAGTATTATTTAGCATTATAAATTTTCGCTATTATCCTCACTATTATTTTAACTATTATTTTTATTATTTTACAGTATTATTTCTAATATGCATAAATATTACAGTGACGTACAAACCGTTCTGATTAAAGTATCAATCATAAAATAATACAGTGCGAAGAGACATATTACAAACGAAATCCTCGCATTAATTATTAAAACGTAGCAACGTATGTACCTCTCACCAGAAGACACGACACCTCGTCTCCTCTCGTCACTCTTCTCGGCGAAATCCACGCGAGTTGAATATAACCTCGTGTGTCGTGCGATCCGTCGATAATTCGGTCGTTTATAAATATGGAATTTGAAGGAAACGCAGGGAACAGGTTTGAAATTAGAATGTCGATATTTTTCTCTTCTATTTATGATTCCGCGCGGATGTGGCAGAGTAGGATGTCTGACTATCGCGTGATCTTTCTACTTAACAGTAATACATACTGTAATGCTCGCACGTAGGTATAGCGTTGTGCATCTTGCAACGATAGGAAACAGACACCATGGAACGACGTGTAATTATTAACGTTGTAAATATCGCATGGGTGTCTGACCATCGCGAGGTCCTTCCACTGAACCGGATACTATTCTGACAACGGGTACAGCGCTGTGCATCTTGCGACGATAGGCATCGAGACACTATATAAAACAACATATATATAATTATTAACGTTATCAATGATACAATTGAATAATAAACACACAGTAATTATATTATAATTATAATATATTATAATTTTATTATTATATTATATATTATATTATATATTATAATATAGTATAATTTTATTATTATATTATATATTATATTATATATTATAATATATTATAACATTTGGGCGACAATTAGGGAGACATTACTATAGATTTTCCTGCAAAAGCATATTTACCGATTTAATAATTCCGAAGGGAGATCTCTGAAAAAGATTCGCACACGCGTCTAAAATTTAAACAAAAATCAACACGTACGCCAAGTCGATATCACAACGATCGATTAACGCGGTTAAAAATATCGAAAGGATTTCGTAAGGACAGATAAAACACGACGATCGTAAAACCGAAACCGATCGATTTCTTCGAAAACAATTGTCCGCGCGAGGCGTCGCTCGCGTTTCCCGTCACCCTTGCAATTATTACAAAGCAACCGGCCAGTAATAATAAGTATAATCGGCCGTCGTATCCGCGGACACATCGGCGTACACACTTTGTCCATCGTATTACGCTCGGCGGCGTTCGACCGGCACTAATAACCAGATCCACGGCCGTGGCATAAAGAAACACAAAACTCGAGAGCAGCGGCGAGCGTGTTAATACTTTAATCGATTAGAGTGCTCGCGCGGGCCTCGACGGTCGCCGGGTATCGTAAACTTATATATACGTGTCCCGGAGCAGCGAGCTCGGACCGGTGCACGGTGTTCCGCTGAAAAAATTCGACAGAAAAATCGTAACCTTCGAACCAATCATTTATCCACTTGACAGTGCTTTATGTATATATATTTTTTAGCTGGTTAGCTGTGGCGTCGCCTTTTCACTCGTCGTTTTTTTACTCGTCGAACACGGTGCAAGTGTCAAGGTTAAAATGTCGGGTCAGAAAGACGATTTTATTTTATACAATTAGGAATTTTATTGCTAATATTCATTTATTCGCTTGACATTATCATATATACTGCATAGTAATAAACGTAATAGACGAAAAACGCAGGAAAAATCGTATTGGGAAAGATTCAAATTGCTGCTGTAGAATGGTGCAGTAATGTCTCTATAATTGACGCTCAGATTGTCCATAAAGATGGACAATTTTGGAAAAGGAGATACGATTGTTCGAGCCTTGTGGATCGTTTTTTATGGTTATCGATTGTCAAGAATTATAAAAACGAGTTGCAAGGCTCGAATAATCGTGTCTCCTCTTCCCAAATTGTCCATTTTTGCGGACCATCTAAGCGTCAGTAAGGGAGACATTACTGTATTTGGAAAAGCAAGGAACGATGCATGATCGAATATATATATAACATATTAAAATATTCTACATATCTTGAACTTTGAAAATATCTTTTAGTTTTCGTTAAAATTACAATTTAAACAGCTAGTCAATACTTTTTACGTGCGACGAGTATACTCGTCGTGACACAGATAAATGGTTGAAATGAATACATAAACGCATCGATTGATGAAAAAAGAATTACACAGTTCCATAGAAAAAAAGAGTAAAAACGACTGCAAGCTACTATGTATACTAAAATCCTGAATCCTAAATCGTCTGATCATCGATCGCGATTTTTCGCTGCGAATCGAGAAAGATCGAGGAGCTGGGATCGAAATTTCAAGATTACTGTTTCAATACAAACATAAATATACCGTCAAAATATAAAGATAACCGCTTAAAGTTCACTGTAATCGATAACAAAAATCACAGACTCGCTTTTCATTCCTTCCCTCAAAACTCTAATCAAAGTTACCGATCCCCCGAACTAAAAAACAGGAAGAACAGCTCGATGTCTCAAAAAAGATGTCCAACATTCCCAAAAGTCTTACAAATCCCAAACACAGCCCACAAAAAATCAAAACGATCGGCGGAGCACGCAGCGAATGGCGCTCGTTCGAGAAATCACCGCCCCGAAAAAGAAACTTGCATCGTTTCCGACAAACGAACGCGTCGAATCGGTAAAAAAGATCAAACCCCCGAAACATCGAAACATCTACGCGTCTCCGCGAGCATAATCGTCTATAGCGATCCACGAAGCGAAGTCCTCTAGCCACGTCTATCGTTCCTCTCGGCGATCGTTCATCGCGCGAGCTCTCGCGCGCGCGGACCTCGCGGGAACGTAGCGCGGCGGCGCTCGGGCGCGCGGTCATACGCGAAAGAAAGGTTAAAAAGACACTTACCATTTTTTCCTCGTATCTATTTCACCTGGCCGAGCAGAGCGCAGGAGTAGTAGCGCGAGTGTCGGGCACGGAGTAGAAGAGGAAGAGGGTCTCTCTCGTCGGCTGATTCACCTGGCGCAGGCGCACACCCTCCGGCGTATCCCTCCCCTCGGCGGCTCTGTTTATGCCCCCCTCGCCCCGTGGCACCCTCGACCACCCTCGGCCACCCTGCTATGGGGAACCAAACGAGACGGCGGATTCGTTGGACGGAGAGGAGGCGACGAGAGGCGAGTTTCGGGTTTGGGGTCGGCCGACGCGACAGTCGAACCGTGGTTCAGTCGGCCGGCGAACTCGCGTGCCGAGCCTTCGTCTCCGGAGACGTGTCTCGTCGCCGTCGCGCTCGTGATCGGTGGTCGTGGTCCTTGCTCGTGGTCCGTGGTGTTCGAGAGATATTCTCGCCGGGTTTCGTCGGTGTTGGGACCGCGGCGCGATGCAAACGCTCCTCCCGTCGGAATCGGCTCGGCGCGCAGCGCTCGGCCCGTTCCTCGCGGCGTTCCTCGCCTGACACAACCGTGACCACGGAATGTCCCCGTCGTCCCGCGAGCCCGATCATCGTCGTCATCATCGTCGTCCGGACAGTCGCCGAGAGAACAGAGCAGCTCGCACGATCGTCGTCGGATCCGCTGCCAGCGAGGAGGACACGTCGATCGTTGGACGCGTGCGGTGCGCGTCCGCCGCGAGACCGGATCGCCGCGAGCCCGCCGCCGAACAATGAAGAGCTCTACGCAGGATTAACGAAAGCCCCCCCGCCGCCCCCCGGAGTGCGCAGTGTTTGTAGCGACCTAGAGAGAGTGTTCTTAGATGTGTTTGTAGTGCGTAGAGCTTAGCCCTCGGAATCGTTAAGACGTGCCCAGTGGTTCCGCGAGACGCGTCGCCTCGATACCATCCTCCTTCGAACTCGGCGCGCGGTTCCGGACGAGATTATTCCCTTCGCCGCGGCGGTGTCCGCTCGATTTCACCGCGGCCGACAGGAACAGGACATTTTCCGCGATCTTCTGCTTCTACCTTGGTGCCAGCAGGCGAGCCGGGAGGAGCCGCGTGGAGGAGCGGTCTTGAGCTGTTTACCTCGCCGGTGCACGCGTGCTCTCGCGAGAGCACTCGGCGTCGCGTCGCGCTCGAACCGCGTCGCCGAAAACGCCGCGGCAGTGTCCCGCGGGTCTTCGCGGGCCGGATGGGTCGATAGGGAAAAACTGGTGACAGGTACGAAACGGCGAAAACGACGCGTTCCGCCGCAGGTGCGACCGCGATCGAAGGCTCCGCGTCCCGACCGACTCGCTCCGTTCCGCTTCGCACCGCTTCCCATCGGATCGCATCGCTCCACGGTCCGCTTCGTCGCGGCAAAGAGGGACAGGAGGAACGCGATAAACGCGGAGAATCGCGAGAAGAAGACTCGCGAGGCCGGTGTTTCGACGATACTTCGGGGCGCAGCGGAGACCCGCCCGGCAGGGCGCATCGCGGAAGTAGAAGGACAACGGGTGTGTTAATTAAAGAGCAGAGGCGAGGGGGAGGGAGAGGAAGAGCCGGCAGACTAACAGGTAAATATTTACCGGTGCCACGGCGAAGTCGCAATATCGCGGCGCGCGTTTTTCTTTCTCGACGAACGAGGCCGCGCGGACAACGCGAACGAGACCAGGTCGGCTGGCTCGCTCGCAGTGGAACAGCTTTGTTTTCGGCCCGGCCTTTTTCTCGTGGCCCCGCGATCGACATTCCACGGCGAGCAATTTCGAGTTTCTCGTCGTTTTGGCTGCGTTCGAGTCGCGGCGTCAGCTCGTAAACGCCGCGGATCGCTCGCAGCGGATGCTCGCCGCGCTCGGAACCGATCGCCTGGCGATGTCACCGCGATGTCACCGCGTTGTCACCACGATGTTCTCCCTACGAATTCGCCGTGATCTACGCCCGCCGGCGTGGATCCCCGACGATCGTTTCCTTTCACGCGAAATTGGATTCTCGAACTGTTCCAGCAGTCATCCGTTCGTGTTCCGCGCGGACGAAACCTATCGGGGCGCTCCGGGGTTGAATTTAGTACGACACCGGTGTCCACGGGGTTCGAACAACCCGAGACGCCTGGGTTCACGGAAATCGCTCGAATGACCGGTCGCTGATCTTTCGGATCTACGATTGGATTGTAAAGGCGCGCTCGCGAGGCTTTCGCGAGGGGCGCGTTGCTCGCGGAAAATCTTGCGGCGACGCTCGCGTTTTTACCCAGTTTTTCGTTTGCTATTGTTCTGGGTGTCGAGGGATGGTTGCGAGTTGTTTATTTAATGTTTGCGTTATTTGCGGTAAATATTGTAGCGACGCTCTTGTTAATGCTCATTTTTTTGTTTATGATTGTTCAGATTGTCAAGAGACGTTTACGAGTTATTTATTTAACGTGTATGTTACTTGCGGTAAATATTATAGTGCAATAACTCTCGTTATTGCTCATTTTTGCACTTACAATTGTTCAGATCGTGTAGAGACGTTTGCGAGTTATTTATTTAACGTGTATGTTACTTGTGGTAAATATTATAGTGACGCTCTTGTTAATGCTCATTTTTTTTGTTTATAATTGTTCAGATCGTGAAGAGACGTTTACGAGTTATTTATTTCATGTATGCGTTTCTTATGGCAAATATTGCAACGACGTTCGTTATTACTCATTTTTTCCATTTACAATTGTTCAGATCGTGAAGATACATGTGTGAGTTATTTATTCAATGTATGTGTTATACAGCAAATATTGCAACAACGTTCGTTATTGCTAATTTTTTCATTTACGATCGTTCGGATGGTTTAGAGTTGTTATTTATTCGAGAGTTATTTATTCAACATATCCTGTTATTACCAGCAACAAATGTTACAGCAACGGCTAAATTAAAAATCAGAATAATTAAAAGTTGCATAAGATTAATTAACCTCGCCAAAAAAAGTGACGGATACGCGAAAGGTTCGAGAGGCGATGATTCTGCGCTACGATTTATGCTCGCAGCGAAACGCAGATTAGCACATCTCTGTCGCCGATGAATTTCCATACCAGAAACTGCGTTTATATTTTATTCGGTTTATATCGGAACGGACGTGAATTATAATAAAATGAAAAGTTCGTCGCGACGCTTTAACATTCGCGAAACGTGCGAGGTCAGTACGAACTAAGACGCGTAATCGATAACAACATGACCTAGCAGCTGGTGCGACCACGCTAAACAAATGAACTTATAAATTCGTCGAGGAAGAGATTCGACTGCGCTCGAACTATAATTATTAATAATTGGACCGCGGGATCAGTGTGCGAGATGAAACTGTTCGTGCTTGATTCTATGAAACGGAAGTTAAATAAGAATGTGTCTTCTTCTAATGATTTTAATAAATTTTTCTAACGCGTTTAATTTTTCTACTGTGGTATTTTTTATTAGCAATATGTTAGTAGTAATATAATATTATTTTATTAGCAATATATTGCTAGTAATGTAATATTATTTTATTAGCAATATGTTACTAGTAATATAATATTATTTTATTAGCAATATATTGCTAGTAATATAATATTATTTTATTAGCAATATATTAGTAATAATATAATATTACTTTATCAGCATTATATTACTAGTAATATAATATTATTTTATTAGCAATCTATTACTAATAATATAATATTATTTTATTAGCAATATGTTACTAGTAATATATTATTATTTTATTAGCAATATATTACTAGTAATATAATATTATTTTATTAGAAATATATTACTAGTAATATAGTATCATTTTATTAGCAATCTATTACTAATAATATAATATTATTTTATTAGCAATATGTTACTAGTAATATATTATTATTTTATTAGCAATATATTACTAGTAATATAATATTATTTTATTAGAAATATATTACTAGTAATATAGTATCATTTTATTAGCAATCTATTACTAATAATATAATATTATTTTATTAGCAATCTATTACTAATAATATATTATTTTATTAGCAATATGTTACTAGTAATATATTATTATTTTATTAGCAATATATTACTAGTAATATAATATTATTTTATTAGAAATATATTACTAGTAATATAGTATCATTTTATTAGCAATCTATTACTAATAATATAATATT